ATGGCTCTAGAGATGTCCTCATACATTTCCTCCACCTCCTGATCGGGGTGTGCCGAGGTTGGTGCGTAAACCTGTATGACCTTCAGCGAATACCGTTTGGTGATTCTGAGTATAAGGTACGCAACCCTCGTCGACACACTCTCAATCTTTACAACGTTGTTAACGAGAGACTTGTGGACGATAAATCCGACACCTCCTTGGGACAGATGGTCGCCCTCCCGGTAATAGAGCAAGTTGCCGGATTCGAGGATTACCGTGTCCTCCCCCTCTCTTCGGACTTCGGATAATCCTATAATATGCCAGCGTAACTTGTCTATCTCTTCTTCCAGCTCCACAATCTTCTCGTCAGTCCTCAGGGTGCGTGCGTTGTATGTTGCCAGGTCGAGTCGTCGTAGGTGGCAACCGAACCTCCACCGGAGATTCTTAGCACCCCCTGCCCCGCCGTTACCATGGTCGCCACCGTAGCCAGGAATAGCGGGGCCGCCGGGGACTGGGGGCCGTTTATTATTGTCATTGCTCATGGGGGTATATTGCCATAGTTGCCACGCTTGGCGAGCGGGTTGGCAACCGCAGTTTTTTTATTGTTATTTTGGCTATTATCAGGAAGATGCTGCTGCCCATCTCCTGCCTGTTTCCCTTTGTCGCCTTTTACGACACCCACGGGAAGATATGGGGTAGTGGATATTCTTAACCGCCACTACACGGCACATTGATTAACAAATACAAATAAATTAATTAATAGCGTCTATTAAAATGTCGTGTGTCGCTGCCGGGAACAAAGTCAATGGTGCCCTGGCTGCGTTAGTCAAAAGGCAAGGCGTAGCGAAGAGTACACGCCTTGCAATACATAACGCAGTGTTGGTACCGACTTTGTTATATGGCAGCGAAACCTGGGTATGCCAGAAGAAGCATAAAAGTAAGTTGAATGCAGTGGAGATGCGATCTCTTCGTAAAATGTGCGGCGTTACCATGGCCGACCGAAAGCGAAACGAAGAGATTCGCAATATGGCAGGTTTGAAAGATGACCTTATCACAAAAATTGATAAGGGCGTGCTTCGGTGGTTTGGGCACGTTGAGCGAATGAGTGAAGACCGAATGATGAAGAAAATATATAGCGCGAAAGTTAATATTAAAAGGTGTCGAGGTAGACCGAGACTAACTTTCGAAGACCATGTGAGCAAATTGCTCGAAGAGGGTAGGGTCAAAAGTACTCGGATACTTAGACGTGCATGCATGAAGAAGATAATGAATCTGAAAGAAGCGAAAGAGGTATGTAAGGATCGTGACACTTGGCGATCTGTTCTCTCTGGCTACCCCGTCAGGGATTGTGCGTGAAGATAAGTAAGTAAGTCTATTAAAATGAAGCGTCATTTAAAATAAAATAATATTTCTTTCGTGACAAGATAAGAAAAGTGCGAGGGAGATGAATAGTATTCCATCTCGTTTCCTTATAGCCGCCAAGGCCATCTTCACTACGTCAGAAGGGGTCGTGACGGAAAAATCTTACGCTTTTTATCCCATCAGCCTTGTTCGTACCGTCCGAGGAGGAACTTCGACCCAAAAAAATATACGAAATTAACATTAGTAATGTACTCAAAGATTTGTGTACATTATTAATTTATATTTGGAACCATTTAATATAGTTTGACTATCCTAAACCAGTGTTTAACTACTATCTTAAGCTAAAACTAAGATTAATAAAAACTCACTCACTCTTTCCTTGAAGACACCCACAATGTTATGTGATAAAAAGGCAGATGCGCGCAACTTATTCATCTCCCTTGCTGTATGCATGACGAACAAGGAAGCAAACCGTTTTGTTCGAACGCATGGGTAACTGACACGGTGCAAATTACCACAGCACCTTTGCAAGGTCACTTAACTTCTTAGCACCTGCTTTGTCTTGGACTTAATAAAACCTCCAAAGTTCAAGTTTGAGGAGTTGACTCACTCTTGTTCGGTCTGGATTTGATGCCAGTGGACCGAGCACTTGGTTTATATATTTTTACAATTATGCTATCGTCAGCGTACCCCTATGGGTACATACCAGGCATAATATTTGAAAATTTAATTGAACTTTTTCTTTTAAAATGACACAGACTGTATCTGAAAATAATTATACTGAAAGAACTTAATTGGTACCAAGGATATTAAAACTTAAAAACAATTAAACTTTACGATGGATCTAAAATAGATTTAAGTTCATGTTCAATCGGACAGACATACGAATGAAAATTGTCTTAAGTTGCTACAATTTTATTTACATTCTATTCCATTTTGAATTGCATACATAGTTATTATTATTATTTATTATTTATTCAAAGGTTGTCTGGAAGAGATCGATCGACCGCCCATTGTACCACATTTCTTTTTCACCTTTCCAGAGATAACTAAAAAGTTAAAAAAAATTAAAGTAAAAAAACTTTTTTTTAAAACAAGCATTTATTTAAATGCGCTAAAAAGAATAAAATAAACTTTTCCTTTAAAACTTTTACTATCAACTTATAACGTCATTACACAATTTATGTGATATAAAAGCTTGTCGCGAGATTTAAGTTTCTACTCATTTCTACTTACTCGTATTTACTTAGTTTAAAAATTTTAAAAATTAAAATCAATCAGATCCTTTTTATATACACAGGTACATACCGACAGCTGTGTGATAGCCTATCACATACCAACCGCTGAACATAGGCCTTCCCAAAGACTTTCATAACACGGTTCTGAGCCACTATCACCCATCGACTTAGGGGTGAAGGTGGCTCCGTACCGTATTTTGACCACAGTTTCCCAGTCGACCGTATTTTGACCATTGTTGCCAGTGCAAACCACTCTACAACCACATTATGTTTTTTTTATTCATTCAAATTTGGCCATTGTTCTTTAGTGGGCAACAAGGCAGGCCACCAAGAGAACTTTTTCTGCGTACGAGTTCATATATTTAGGTTCCACTCTCTAACCTATTTCTGCCGTCAAACCATAGAACATGCACTACTCTGTGCTATGTCCACTGAGAGTAGAAAGTAATTGTGTTCTGTGACTGTGTCTACGGAGTAAGCATGGGGGTGCAACTTAGAACATTATTTTACGAACAAAATGATACGTTTTATGTGCTTCCATCTACATTCCGAAGCGCTAGGCTAGACTTATTTTAATCTCTCTAGAGGGCACTTATATATTAAGTCTATGCATACGCAATAATCCACACGCGCACAACGCAGTTGGTAGCGGTCACTGGTTACGCTTAAATTGTTATTAATATTTATTGAACATTATTTATTTTTAGAAAATGCCATTTTATCTGTGTTTTCAGACAATGAAAAACTGCTAAAATATTATTAGAATACGAAGGTAAATTTCGCCATAACGCACAAAGTTATAACAGCTAAGGTGAATAATCAGGCGGTCCCGAAATCTAAAGACCACGGGTCGCGTCCAGCAGATGTGTTTCTCCCTTTTTTTCAAGTTCCATCTTTTGTAAGCGCAGTCTGTTATGCAAAGCACGACACAAAAGAAAATTAAATTTGAGTCGCGCATCTATCACTAGTATATATACAGTAATCTGTAGTGTTATGCTACTTACATATCATTTTACATTATTTTAAATTCATTTTTCCATTCTGTTTCGATTTTCTGCATTCACCTCAAAACTGGATATTTTACATCACCTTTATTTCCATAGGATCCTGTAACGATTTTAAACCATAAGAACACAATAACAAATCATTTCTACTTCGTATTTTCACATTATCAGCACTTTTAAATTGGTGTCAATGGAGTCTACCTTTTTTCGATCTTTTAGCTAGTTTTCCGTAACTCTACAATCTTGGGCTTTGTGTGGGCAGCTGCGCTACCTTTTTTCCTATATCAATAATATCTCATTTTCCACTTAAATCTTACCGTTTTCTTATTATAAACCTAAAACCAAAATTTGACATGTTTTGATATTGTTATTTATTTCGTTGCTATAGTAATTATATTCAAATTTGCTACCGATCTGTTGTTCCTATTTCGATAATTCCACATAAATACTTTTTTCTCTTGACCATTTACAAAAAATTTGCGTTTAATTTAAATAATTTTTCCGTTCTCTCTAGAAAGGTATAAAAGCCGAACAATCGGTGAAGAAAGGCAATCTCGCTTCAGTTCGCGAATTGGAAGTATCTCCTAAAGGCCTTATCCCGGGGCCGCACTGCCCCGGGATCCTGCAAGCCTCCACCTACACGTGAAGTCTTCGGCGAAGCCTTCTTCAAACGCGGAGCCGCACCACTCCGGATTCCTACAAGCCTCCATCTACCTCGGAAGTCGCTTCGAGACTACTACAAGCGCGGGGGCCACACTACTCCGGGCGCTACGACTACTTACTCCAGGCGCCGAGTGCACCTACCGCCGGCGCTACCTTTGGGCGCTGCAACTGCTGGCTCTAAGCGTTGAGCGCACCTACTCCAAGCGCTACGTGCGCCGGCTCCGGACGCTGCGTGTGCTGGCTCCAGGCGTTGCGTGCCGTCGCTACTAAGAAACTTACCTCTACAAGCGCAACCGGCGTGTGCTTGCTTCAGGAGCTGCGTGTCTTCGCTGCTAAGAAACCTACCTCTACAATCGCAACGTGTGTCGCTTCGACTTTTAGGCCCCACTACATCTCTTTATTCCCCTATTCTCCTACCTTTATATTTTTTTTTGTAATCTAATTGTACTCTCACTTCATTCATCATCATCCTCATTTCATTTTTTTTATAAAATTGTAAATACCTTTTAAAAATTTAAATATATTGTTTTCTGGCTCTACTTTTGTTGTTTTGTTGTACTTAGGTTAGGTTCTATTTTTTTTAATCGTCGCTTCACGAGAGTTTGGAGTAAGGGAGCCACTGTGACTTATCTAGGGTTATTATAGCTGTGGCAACGCATGAACTTCTTTATCTGAAGTTGATTGCAGGTATAAGTGTGTTTATTGTCTCAAAAACGTAGTGGAAAATTCAAAATTGAATAAAATTCTTTCCCAGATCATTGGATACGTGATAGTGTTGGTGACCTTCGCAATGCAAGTTCCAATGCGGTGGGCAGCGGCGAGGCTTCATGGTGCTCCGCGACTCCTTCTGGTTGATATCTACCACCTCATCTCCTTTGTGGCAACTGTCAATGTTTGGCGAGGCGTGTGGGGCTTGCTGGATGTTTATTATTTTCCAGGTAGGTTTAAAATATGACCATGTGTTATTTGTTATTACTGTACAGTAACAGCTGATATACATACATCTAACTGAAGCGTACCGGCCTCCTCACATTTCTGAGAATTTACTGGAGCTGCAAGCCTGCTTTGATATTCACATCTCCTCTCGTTTAGGATTCGTCATGGCAAGTTTTTCGAATGTCAGTGGGAGTGCACTGAGTGCCAATATTGAAGTAATTATGTAAAATACGTCCTTGTTATTAATTTGTGTTACCTACCAGCGAGCGCTAACCATCTGAGCCGTAGTAGCTCAGAAGGTTAGCGCTCGCTATAAGCTTCACAGTATGCGAGCAACCCGGGTTCGATCCCCGCCGGCACCAATGAAATTGTTAATTGCAATTTTAAGTGCTGATTTACCCCGTGCTCGGCGGTGAAGAAAAACATCGTGAGGTAACCTGCATGTTGAAGAACTAAGAAAAAAATTTTTTTAAAAACGTGTGAAGTTCACCAACACGCGTTAGGGCAGCGCGGCGGACATTTCCTTGTCCTAAAATCCTCTCAGAAATGAGAGGAGGCCTGCGCCCAACAGTGAGACGTAAATAGGCTGTAACTTTACTTTTTTACTTTACTTTTACCTACCTTATATTTAAAAAAGCTTATTTATCTCTTTTAATTAACACTTTTACAATTCCTGAAAACAAATATCAAAATTATCCAAACGACGAATAAGAATAGCGTTTATTGGTTTCCGTGCGAAAACTTATCGAATCCGAGACGATTTCCCTTTCTGAGACGATTGTGAATAGACTTACTTACAGGGGGAACTTCACATGTTCAGACACGCCGGATTTCTCGCATTATTTTCCTTCAAAATTAGCACTTGTTCTGGCTAGGATCTAACTCGATTCGCTCGCTACTATGAGATTTTATGGCGAGTATTATAAGTAGATATCAAATCAAAAATTTGTGAACATTGCCTCGTTTTCGACGAGCTTAACATTGCCGCCTAAAAACTATAATCACCATTCGATTCTACCTATACTTTGTTAACTGCACCATGCTGTTCTCTATTAGTAGTTGTATGTTGTATGTAATGCAGTTTTGATGGAACAACATAGTTTCAGACTCAGATTTATAAACTAAGAGTTCTCCACGCTCGTGGCTGGACTGACGATCGAAATGTTAGATGCAAGATGTGTAGCAACATTCACGATGCATTCGATGTGTATCCCACAGTATAATGTCATTAATCGGAAGCCACGAGTTTTTTCTGGCCTTTCTCATAGTCACTTCTAACGAACTAAATGGAATGTTTTTTTATATGATAAGGATGACAAGCGAGCACACAGTCCGCCTGATGGAAAGTGGTTGCTGTGGCCCATAGACATCCACGTTTGGGAATCAAAATGCAGATGCGTTTTCAGCTGTGAGGACTATGATGGAATGCCTCTTTTCCAGTAAAAAGGGTCTCCGTTTCTCTACACTCACCATACGAAACACCGCAGTGTTAAGCTGCTATTTTACGCTGGTATTCTGTGAGAGCGTGGTCGTACCCCAGTTGAGCCGACCCATTCGTGCTACAACTGTTCTACTAATATAACTGCAGCATAGCTCTACCACGTATAAATGTTTTAAGCCTGTGATGCTTCTTCCCATCACCGCTCATTCACTCACTATTATGAGACGATATGAGGTGATAAATCTCTTACACCACCATATTGGTATCATAACCGCCATAAATTTACAAGCATATTCATACATCTGAAAATCTATCTTCTATCTTGGCTAGATAAAACAACCTCTATATGATTTTTAAGCAGGTACTTCAGATATGAATTAAAATCATTTGTTTTTCTCTTGTTACAGATAAACCAAAACTAAGTAATTGGTCAACGCATATCATCAGTCTTACCCTACTAATCCTGCTAAACTGTTCCAACTCTATTCTCGTAAGAGGTGTGTACATTGACGCAGAGGAACCAGCCGGCGACTGCGTAATCTTCCCCTGCCATTATCTACGACTGTTCTTCCACAAGGAAAGAACAAAGAAGAGGCACAGGCGAGCTATTGCAGCCGCAGCCATGGCAACGGCGAGAAAAACTGAAGAAGCGAGCTTTCCTTTACAAATACCGGAGGAGAAAGTTTAGAATATTTCTTATTTTAAGTGGAATTTTAATAGACTATTGAACGGAGTGCAAATAATTGTTACTCAGTTGTATTTTTTAATTTCCAGTGACAAGAAGTGGAACGAAAAAAACTAAAATATTTTATATTTATTAAATTCAATCGGTCCTATTGCAAATCGTGGTGTATTGACCAGCCTCGAACTTAAAAAAGGGTCTTACTCACGTAGGAATTGCCTTAGCAACGGCGCTACATTCTTTGCGACTTGTTGCACTTTACATTTTAGTTTTCGTATTTCTCTTTGGAACTTAGTTATTAAACAGACTATTTTAAGCCTGAGACTAATCATTAACTACTTTTGTAATAAAACGGAAATTCGTAACGTTCTGATAGCCACCTGTTTCTGACACAATGAGCACATTACTACAATGTTCCATTTTATTTCTATATTCGCTCGAAATCTGTATATTATATAAATAATGTTTGAATTACAATCAGCTTACTCGATAGCTTTGTGTTAAGTTATGGAATGGCTTTAATACAATGAGATCGAATTAAAAAAGGTCTAATAAATCGTTTGTACATACTTATATGGATGAGTGGATTGAGTAATTTGTTTTAAATTTAATTGTACGTATACATCAATGTCATCATCATCGTTCATTGTTAAATATGGGGCCAAAGAGTGCCATAAAATAGTTCACCTGCACCTATGAACTTCCTTAGGTCGACAACCCATTTAGGAAGAGTTTACCTTAAACTGCTTGCACTTTTTATAAGTGGTAGAGCCATACTACAACTACCAGACTACCGGCGTAAAATAGCTGCTCAATATGCTGTATTTCGTATGGTGAGTGTAGAGAACCGGAGAAACTTTTTACTGGAAACGAGGCATTCCATCTTAGTCCTCAGGGGTGACAACGCATCTGCATTTTAATTCTTAGTTGAGAATAGATGTAGATGTTTATGGGCCACACCATCCACTTAATCAGGTGGGCTGTGTGCTAGATTGTCACCCTTATTTCATTAAAAAAAAATAGTCTGGCCAGTATTTCTACAGGTTGAAACCACCGTCGGGTTCCCCCTTCATCTATTCCACAAAATTCAAAGACGAAAGTTTTCAATCAGTACCTATGGTGCAGAAGCGTGGACATTAACGATATGACTACTTCAAAAGGTGCCCATTGCATATAATATAAGGGAAAAATTTATGCTTTTAGTTTCTCCGTTAGAGAAGATTCGTAACGAAGAAATCTAGCGGAGAACAAAGTTCACTTACATAGTTTCAATAACCAAGTACAGTTGTCGTAGATTGGATAAGGCTTAGGCTAAGGTAATGTTGTACGCACCATGCCTATATGGAGCGGCGAACTCCGCATGATAACTGGTATGGTCTGGGTGCATAAAGGCGAACATTGGGCTAAATGGCGCGCTTTTTTCCTTTGGTAATGGACCCTAACGAGGGTACTTTTGCCAATCTCAAATAATGGGAGCAGGAAATTTCACTCTATAATAATTTTTTAAAAAATCACACCAATATGTGGATAGAATTTTCGAAGATTTCATCACAATATCTAGGCGGTTAAGCAGATAAAGTATCTTGACTTATCCTTTCCACTGACAGTCCACATACGTAGACACTTTTACGTATCAAAACCTACTTCAAACTAACAGGAGCAAGAATCGGCCAGTGATTAAGTACCCTCCAAAAATCGGCGCGTTGTTTAAAAGGCCAATATCCAGCGGTGGACTAATGATGATGACGAAGATGCTTTAGCACGTATTATTATCAGTATTGCTTGGTTCATTTGATTTTGTTATGATACCAGAAACTCATGTACGTTGCTTTAATTCGTATTCTCTTGTAAATAAATAATATTGTTATTGGAAAGTTTGTAAAAAGGTTTTCTTGTAAGGTGTTATTCGTATCTTACTAATATTTGGTTAAAAGTATTTAAGTCTTAAGTTGTAAAAAGTGTGAAAATTGGCACATTGATAAATTCCTCTACGTATTTTTGCAATTGATAAACAATACACAATTATTTAAAATGTACAAAAGTTACTTCATATATGTAGTCGTACGATATGTTTTCTTACAGTGTTTAAACCATTTAGTTATATGTACTACGTACCAGAGAAGCCATTCCAAACAAAAATTGTGTCCTACTCTATGTTTTCACGCATGCGCGGGAGTAGTAGTCGCGCATGCGCGAAGACTTTAATTTAATATAAAATAAATATAAGAATTTAATATAAAATATCTTAATTTAATCTAAATAAACATATTTATAAATAAAATGTAATAATAATTATTTTATGGAATTCACAAATCTTCAATTTACGCAATATTTAGTTTGTATGAATTGTACTACAGTTCAGTTGAACATAGTCAATGTTCGGAATGGCTTCTCTAGTACGTAGTACATATAACTCAATGGTTTAAACAGTTTATTTTTTCCTTTGGTATTAAAAGACAAGTAATAACTATTTTTAATCATCTTTTATATATTATTCATGCTGATATCATCTATACGTTTGAGTAGATGATGAGATCTAAGTCAAACTTCATCATTCCAAGTTTTGTATTATAAATTAGTGTTTAAATTTGTGTAAATAATGTATGTATGCCGAGTTATGAAAGCAAGTATGCAATAAATTTTAAGATATATTTTATTCTATTTTTTTATCCAATCCTTTTATATCCACTTTTTTAATTTATGTAAACTGTGATTCATATAAATGTAAGTATGTTGGTAAGATTAGAGGTTACAACTGTTTGCTTGTTTGTCACTTTAACCCAGTGATTCCCAATCAGTGGTCCGCGGACCACCAGTGGTCCACAAGAGCTTAAAATATGGTCCGCGAAAGATTTAAATATTTACCTACCTAATCGTTTAACACATTTATTATTTTCTCGTCACGCTGTCAGTGCTACACAGAGACGCAATCAAAATCGCAATTTTTTACCAAACATGTATAATTTCTTTTACAATAAACACACAAATAATACTGTGAATGAATGCTTCTTTTCAGTTTATTGTATAATTATGTTAAAATTTGGGATTAAAATTTATTGTTAGAATAACATAGTTTTTTCTTTCACCTTGTGGTCCTTGCTAACAACAAAGTAATCAAAGTGATCCCTAGACAAAAAAAGGGTGGGAAACCCTGCTCTAACCTAATAAAAATGTCGAAATGATGACTTTGCCTCTCATATCGTAAAATTCATGGAAACTAAAGCGCATGATTTTTGTGAGCGTAAATGCGATATTGACGGGATGGTAGCGTGGTGTGAGGATAATAAGTTGCAATTTATTTCATCTAAGTGCGTAAACCTTTACTCGCGCACGCAACCCCATACTCTATAATTATGCGCTAGATGGAGTAGGTGTCTATGGCACGAGTGAACGAGGTTAAGGACTTGGGTGTTCGTTTCACGTCAGTACTTAATTTTCAAAATCATATAGCAGACATCTGCAAGAAAGCATATCGCAACTTAGGTTTTATACTGCGCAGGGTTCATTGTTTCACTAACATTAAAGCCATTGTTGTATTGTGTAAACACTTTAATTACATGAAGCTAAATAGTCATGCTGGAGAGAATTCAATACAAATTTGTTAGTTTTTTATATTTCAAACAGTATGGGGTATATTTTTCTTTTTGCACCCGAAGCAATTGGAAAAGGGCTACCCTTTACGTAGGGAGGCGGAAAATGCATTACGCATACAACGATAGGCTGAGCCGCCAGGAGGCAGTTCAAGTCGTTTGACAGTTTGTTAGGCGGGTCCGAGAGGGAGTTTCTCGGCCTGCGGACGCGATAGCGAGAGGGGCTGCATAAATAGCTGCCTCACGAACAAGTGTGTTTGAATGAGACTCTGAGACTTTGAAGAAGTTTTCAGAGAGTTTTTTAATAAATTGTTGTATTGTTGGGATTTCTACATCGCGATGGAGGTCAGCATTACGGACGTACCAAGGTGCGTTCGTAGCTCGACGACAGAAGTGATTTTGAACTGTTTGAAGTTCATTTATAATTTTAAGATTAGCGTGTGCAAATATAGGGGCCGCGTAAGACATTACCGGTCGTATACAAACCTTATAAAGGGTTCGCTTATTTCTTAGAGACATTTTACTATGTCGACCTAACATACTGTTAAGCCTACCTAGATAGAAACGTGCTAGACGGGTTACTCTTTTGACATGAGGCTCGAAAGTAAGCCTTGTGTCAAGGGTGACACCTAAATATTTAGCAGATGTATGCCAGGGGACTGTGGTCCCTAACATACGTATTGGTGGAATATTTTTATTGATTTTGATACGGCGTCGTTTCCAATCGAATTGAACTGCGGAGCTCTTATCCGGGTTCACATCGCTGCGCCATTTTTAGAACCGAGCTCCTAGATCATCGACTGACTTTTGGATCTTGTTCCTTACGAAAGGTAGTCTGTGACCTTTAAAGTATAGGGCAGTGTCAACTGCGAAGAGGGAGAGCTGTACACCATTCGACGGGATTGGAATGTCGTTGGTGTATAAGATGTAGAGGAGGGGAGCAAGTACTGATCCCTGAGGCACACCAGCTTTGATGGGTCGCTGAGAGGAGAGCGTGCCTTCGTATCTAAAACGAAAGGTACTATGTTGTAAGTAAGAGGCCACGAGACGTACTGGACGATCGGGGAGACCTATTTTATATAGTTTAAATATAAGGCCTTCGCGCACTCGCGCCACCATAGTACTTAAACTTATCCATCAGGAGGTAATTATTACTATAATTAACATAAGTAAAAATTATTAAAATAATTATTACTTACTAGCTGTGCCCCGCGGTTTCACCCGCGTCATCACGTGTCGGTGGTGCGCGACATGACCTAGTTCAAACATTTTATAATTGCAATTAAATATTTTATTTGATAGCAATGGATGGAAAAATTGGCATAATTAATGGAGTACTTTTATCTGTCGGCATATTATGTATGATGTAGAGTGAAGGTAAGTTTTATCCACTTTCCCTCCCCGGGAGGGGTCCCG